ACACACAATGTGAATTAATTAAATAAATTTGGCAATTCACTTGAAATAATTAAACTTGTATAGAACCATTCAAGAACCATTCTACAATACCCACATACATCTTCAAACCCAAACATTGAAATAGTTAAATAAATTCATAAGCCTCATCAAACCAAAACATTGAAATAGTTAAATAAATTCATAAGCCTCAATTTTCAAATTTCAACCAATGTAAAATTCAAATATATGGAGTTAGACAACAGACGCATTCACATACATTCAAGTAATTAAAAAACCACTAATTAGTAATTACATTTGAAGATGGTTGATTGTGCGTCAATCCACTTTTCTCATTGGCTCAGTTGGATTGTCCGTCGACGACAATCGAAACTAGGTCGATAATGACATAAACTAATACAATAGGTCAATGCTTTCCAAAATAAAGAAAAGATTCAAGAAAAATTTGAAATTGTTGGAAGTGATTAACAATTTCGCTAATGATTGAACCAATTGAAAAAAAAGAGGGATCGATGGTGAATACGAAAAACAAATGTTGAAAGGGTCATTTATAGTTAAAAATTCATTGCCGTTTGAATTTGGAGAATGGGAGAGTGATGGGGAAGATGAACAGAGGAAGAGAGTATTCATACTTCGAACTTCGGAAGGAGAAATACTAGTTTGGTACTCTGTGTGTGTTGTGTCTGCTTTAGCCTTCAATGATTAAACACAACTCTTTATTGTTGTGTCCGCTTTAGCCTTCAATGATTAAACACAATTTTTTATTGAGAAAAATGCATTTTTTGTCCTGTATGTTTACCTCTCTGAACATTTTAGTCCTCTTCGAATAGCCAATTTGACTTTCGTCCTCTAACTTTTAAAAAGGTTGCTAGCTGATTCGTCCTCGACTCGCCGGAAACTCATTAATTGGCCGAAAACACGCACATGATGAAAATTAACAGCTCTTTAAGATTATGTGGAGCCGGAATTCCCATGCCGGCAAGCTTATTTACACGTGAAGGCCCCAAATTAAATGAAAAAGAAAAACAAATCCACATGCCGAAACACGTGGAAAAAAAGGGAAATGAAATTGCGGAAATGGGCATAAAATGAGACGGGATTTCTGATTTTTGAATCATTTCCATCTTCCTTCAACCCTATTTTTCCAAGTCACAAGATCCCCAAATCTTCAAGAACCCTAATTTTGGAAATTGATGATTTCTTTCTTCAAAATTGTCAATTTCGTTCAAGAATCCCCAAATCTTGAAAATTGTTGATTTCGTTCAAGAACCTCATTTTCTTTCACCTTCAACATGTCTGAGTCATCGCAATGTACCGGTTTCTTGGAATGTTGGTGCGAACGAAGGGCTGTTATTCGCACATCATGGACGGCCGACAACCCGGGCAGGAGATTTCATTCTTGCATTGGCTACAAGGTGGTGTTTTCTTAACGATGCATTATATGATCTTGTTAGTAGAATTGTATGTGTGTTTTGCCGTGAATCATGAAGAGTGTTTTTTGATTTTATCACGTGAATAAATGTAGACTGCCTATAGGGTTATTATCTGAAATTCTTTGGTTTTGTTTCTTGCAATGATCAATTATGGGATAATGTAATGTTGAGGAGGAAGAAACTGTTGGGTTTTCTTGTTTCTTGTTTCTGTAATGGTCCTTTTGTGTTGGTTTTGGAATTATCCGGGTGTATGTGTTTTTGTTGTTTGGTCTTATACAAGAGGGTTCTCGATTACATGATCTTTGAAGGTAATTTGATTCTACTTTTAATTTCATGGCTGTGTTGGTTTTGGAATTATCCGGGTAATTTTATGCATTCATATACAATGTTATGAAGCCCAATTTGGTGACAGGTGAATTGATATTTTTGTATTTTCTNNNNATAGCATGGAGGATGCAATTTTTTCTCTTGGGTCGACCCTCCTATCTGTGACCGGTCTAAAAATATCATGCCTAAGTTATTGAGGAAGATAAATGCACTGGAAAGAGCAAATGAAGACTTCAAATTTGAGAATTCCAAATTGGAGGGGAAGGTTGAAAAATTGCAGAAAAATGTTGAAAATTTTCAAGCATTGAACAAGAAGTTGGTTGAAATGAAAAAAAATTGGAGATGAAAACGGGGTTTGCATTGGCTATAGCAACTTTGTTGTGTGTATTTTTGCTATATAAAGTTGTGAATGGTGATGATATAGGTCAAGGCTATGGATTGAAGAAGCTTGTGTAATGTGCTTATTTTCTCTTGTAATCTTTGTAATCTTCTATATATGTACTCTTGTATTTTGTGTGTACCTTATTTTGGAACATCGGTATGTAATGTACTTGTGGTTTCAATGAAATTTCCTTTAGTTTCCAGACTTGTCTCCCTTGATTTGATAGAAAGCACAATTGATGATGAACTAAACTATTAAACCTCAAACAAAACTCAACTGCACAACTCAACCATTTCATTGTCAACTCAACTGCATAAAGTGATCACAACTTATCACAACCACTGATATAAATCAAGGGCAATGCATAACTGATCACAAAGGCAATGCATAGCTGAATTATAAAAGGCAATGCATAACTGATCACAACCATCACAACTCAACACAAACAAATTCAAAAGTAGAACATAAACTGATCCTCATAACCATCACAACTTATGTCTTCCATTAACTAAACAAAAAAAGAGCACAACACAAGTGTTTTACAACCACCAAGCATAACATAAATGACATTGCACTGTCCTACCATTCTGTTTTTCAACAAAGTTAACAATATCCAAAAGAAATCTAAATTGTTCATCAAAATACCATTGCACTGTCCAATATCAACTGAAATTCACTTATTTCTAGAATTTTCTCCCTTCTTCTTTCTGATCTGCTTCAACTTCTTAGATGAGCTACCCAAAGAGAAGTCTTTTTCAATCCTTTCAAACATTGCTGGAGTTCCATCTCTTGCAATGATTGTCTCCAACTGCTTACCTCTAAAGTATGAATCATCTTGATCTCCCATTTGTAATTGTTCAAGGGGTGTGAGTTCCTTTGTCATATGAGGTTGTGGAGTTGCACAAAACTCTTGTGTCAATTGTGACACAAAGCCCTCATCATCCCAGTCAGTTTCTTCTACAAATGGAGCAGTTGGTGCCATGCTTGGCCCTTCTTTCTGTTCAAGAAACAACACAGTCATAGTACCATTTTTTTTACAGTGAACAAAAATGAATTACAAAGAAAATTAACAAAGTAAGTAATACCTGTTTCTCTATGGTGGAGATGGAGCCTTGTTTCTGTTCAAGAAACAACAAGTTGTTCATCAGAAACATTTGTTAATAATGCAGTTAAATGAAATAAAAAGAAAATAAATAAAAGTATAATATTTAATAATA